TTCCACGTAGGCGGTCCCGTCCATGTCGTATTACCCCATCCAAAATCAACCTCGTACGCCGGAAACATACAGTGAAGTGAAGGTAACAGGCACCACCTCACCTTTCTCAAAAGTTCTAACCATGTCTTCTTCGATAGGGTTCCATTCTTTGCTTTCTCGAAGCTTGGCAATAAAATCGTCGTCCACTTTGTTCAGTTCTTCTCTTAGCTGTCTTCCGAGGTTGTCGGAGTACTCTCCTTCTTGCTCGTAGATTCACTGTGGATGTCACTAAATGAATCTTATTGTCCCCTTCTTCTTTTGTGGCTGCAACAAACCGGTTGAATAGGAAAGTTGATAAGACTTCTACTCTTGAAGGAAGTTTTTGGCCTTCTATGACCTTTGCGGAATATTTTATCCTCAGAACATTATATTTCGTAAGGTTTTATTTGGCAAAGGATGAGAGCTCTACCAAATCAGTAGCTGATTAACAGGAAGAATGATAATTAATCATCTAAGGAAAAGGTTAACACCATATATAAAAGGACTTAAAGATTTCCAATACTAAAAAATTAAGAAATGAGCACGGAACTCAAGTTATAATGAGGTCCCAATTTAGTACTCTCTCCATATTTATATAAGGGTGAGTTCAAGATTGAATTTAGTTTTAAATATTATATTTAGTCCTTAATATAAGATTTACTTTGTAATTCAAATTGAATTACATTCTAAATCTTGTATTAGGGACTGGAGGTAGTATAATACTTTAATTCATTTTATCTCTTATATTTATCATTTATTTATTATACTAAGTTAGTTAACTTATAAACTAATACATTATATATATAATGTTATATATACATATCGTAGGAAAATCATGTTACATTTATTTATGTGGATATTAAGAAAATTGATCAAGTTGATTATTTGCATTGAAACCACCTTTTAACAAGAATCCTTTACAGTCAATAAGAATATTTTAAGAAAAAAACATTATAAATTTGGGAGACAAATAAGATTAATGTCTTATATTTGAACCAAATCCAACCTTTTAAACTTGCTCTTATATTAATTACCTGAAGTAATAATTTACTTTACTTTTTTAATTTATCTAAATTAGTTAAGCTTTTCAAGATGAAAAGTATGGTTCTAATTTTTTTATGTGGTACGCATGTCATTCGTCCAATAATCTATGTATCCTATTTTTCTTAATATTTATGGTAGGTATACAGCATGTAATTGGTAAATAATCTACTTTGCCCAAAAATATATATGGTAAATAATCTAATCCATTTAGCTTACTTATAAAGGGTGCTTAGTAAAATAATAACGCGTTGATCTGACATGCAAACTAATCAACAAGTTGCACTATTAAAAGACGCAGTGTTTAGTCAATGCCAAAAAAAACGGTGCAGTGTTCAAGAAGTAGACAATATTTTAGAACACTTTCTTAAACATAAAACTCGAACCTTTTTAATTTAATGACAAAACAAACACACAAGTTTCATTAATCAAGTGATTAACAGATAAGTCTCAATAATGACAAATGAAGGTGAACAGCAGACAAGAACACAGTACACAAATTGTAAAATAAGCACACAAATATATATAAAAAAATAAAATAAAATTATTTCAACCCTTCGTAGAAACATGAGCAAGAAGCTCCTCGTCACGTTCAAATTTAGCCATGTCATCCTTCGTCAAGTTGACGTACGCCTCAATGCCTCCCCCTGACTTGGTGTCTTTAAAAACAATTACATTCTTGAATTTCCACGTAGGCGGTCCTGTCCACGTAGGATTACCCCATCCAAAGTCAACCTCGTACACGGGAAACCTACACAGTGAAGTGAAGGTAACAGGCACCAACTCACCCTTCTCAATAGCTTTAGCCATATCTTCTCTATTAGGGTTCCATTCTTTGCTTTGTCGAAGCTTCACAATAAAATCGTCGTCCACTTTGGTTATCTCTTCTCTTAACTGTCTTCCAAAGAAGTCGTCGCTCTCTCCTTTCTCGTCTAACGTTGGAAACATTTGAACATACCAGTAATAGTTCCCGAACGCATATTCTGGCAATGGAAGATCCATTCTTGTGCGTAGATTCACTGTGGATGTCACTAAATGAATCTTATTGTCGCCCTCTTCTTTTGTGGCTGCAACAAACCGGTTAAATAGGAAAGTTGATAAGACTTCTACTCTTGAAGGAAGTTTTTGGCCTTCACTGAGCTTTCTTGAATATTTTGTTCTCAGAGATTCTATTACGGATGCTTCAAAAGCGAATCGCTTGCCCACGGCTTTGTGCTGTCCCATGTGTGTATTCGGATCATATCCCGACAAGTCTTTTGTCGGGAAAAGAGAGGAAGATTGGAAGTGGCTTCTGATTGGTTCTGGTCCGCCGCGTGTTACGGCGGCCCAGGTCTTAATGAATTGGAAATGCGACAGCGCATCGGCAATCTTGTGGGTGAGGCTTACTCCGACGGCTATTCCACCACAATCGAAGACATTGAATTGGACACCTAGGACTGTGTCCACCACTTCATCCATGTCGTAGGGAAGCAATTTACTGAAGTCGGCCGGAGAGGGGTCGTCGGTGACGTGGCTGAGGTGGCACCTGACATTGGTTTCTATGTACGGGACACCCTCGTCGTTGCACTCTACCACTAAGTTGTCTGTTATGAGTCTCCCGGCGAGTGGATAGTAGGGAGTTAAGACTTGAGACAACGATTTCTTGAGAACATCGGAAGCCTCGTTGACGTTAAATTTGTTTGTGACAGAATCAGCCGTGAAGAAGTAGACCATAGAATTGTTGATTTGGGGAGTTATCTGATCGATGAAAGAGAGATGGTAATGACGAAGATGTCGAGGAGTAGGAGACGATGGTTTCACCATTTCTCTAGAGATTACTTCTACTTCAACACTCATTTTATTTTCTTGGTGCTTCTCTCCTTAACGTGTAGCTTCTGATTATGCTCAACAATTATTATGATCATCTCTATCTATACTTATAATTCTCATCATGGACGAGGATGGCTAATTAATTAATGGGAGTTGGTTGGGTGCTCATCAAACACCGAAATTCTGACCTTCAAATCGTCTTGATTTAATTCTTTTTATTTTTATTTTGTAAAATTTTATTTTGGTAGGTATAAAATGTAAAATAAAAATAATTTTGTCAGTTTTATTTTTTTAAAAAAATTATTTAAAAATCACTGGTTGAAGTTTCTGAATCTAGAACTTTAAAACTATTTCTGGGAGATGATACGGATGTTGTTATTCAGCCGATGCAGGAGGCATGAAGTGGAGCGAAGGTAAGGAATAGAATTCTTCTTGAATTTATATGTGGCTACGCTCGGTTTATAGAGTATGCCAGGTGATCTTTTCTCATAGTTTATTATTTATTTAGATGGAAAGAAAAATAGGAAACAAATTAGAATTGAAGGAAAAAAAATCCTCCGAAATAGTAAATTTTTTCTATTTATTATTTCTTGAAAGTTTTTAATTCTTCTCTTCTATTTTCTTCCATTTTTGCCGTAGGATCCTTACATATTAAAGAAGGAAATTCTAAAGCTGATTGGCTTGCAACTTAAACTATACTTTAGGGCATGGTGATGATTTGATTGTGTTCCATAGTTCGCTTTGAGGATTATCTGATGTACTTTTCTGTGACATGATGGGAGTTTCTTTCCCACATCTCTGCACATAGTTGATGATTGAGGATGCTGAGCTTTCGCCCCATTTAGGGAAAAAATAATAATAAATAAACAAAAGAAATCATGGCCCTATAGACTTGTATGAACTCCATTGTTATTATCTGTGACATATACAATTATGATCTTGATTAATTGACTTGAGTGTCGTGGTCTCTGTTTTTTTTTGTTTCATTGTTATAATGACAGTATAGTCTGAAATAAAAATTTGATGGCGTAAAAAAACCTGATTTTTAAAATCTTTTCTTAAGAACATTATATTTTCTAAGGTTTTATTTGGCAAAGGATGAGAGCTCTACCAAAACAGTAGCTGATTAACAGGGAGAATGATAATTAATCATCCAAGGGAAAAGGTTAACACCATAAAAGGACTTAGAGATTTCCAATACTAAAATATTAAGAAATGAGCATGAAACTGAAAGTCATAATGAGGTCCTAATTTAGTACTCTGTCCATATTTATAAAAAACGTCTGTTTGGGATTGAATTTAGTTTTAAATATTATCTTTAGTCTTTGATATAAAACTTAGTTTACAGTTCAAATTGAATTATAATCTAAATCTTAGGGACTTGAGGTAGTGTAATACTTTAATCCATTTTATCTCTCATATTTATCATTTTTTTATTAAACTAATTTATTTAACTTATTAACTAATATATAGTGTATATATAATGTCATATATACATATTTTAGAAAAAATCATGTTACATTTATTTATGTGGATATTAAGAAAATTGATTAAGTTGATTATTAATTTGTATTGAAACCACCTTTTAGCGGGAATCCTTTACAATCAACAGGGATATTTTGAGAAAAACATTATAAATTTGGGAGACAAATAAGATTAATGTCTTATATTTGAACCAAATCCAACCTCTCAAACTTGCTCTTATGTATCCTATTTTTCTTAATACTTTATGGTGGGTATAGAGCATGTAATTGGTAAATAATCTACTTTGCCCAAAAACTGGTAAATAATCTAATACATTTAGCTTACTTATAAAGTGTGCTTTGTAAAACAATAACGCGTCGATCTGACATGTAAACTAGATAACAAGTTGCACTATTAAAAGACGCAGTGTTTAGTCAATGTCCAAAAAAAAGGGTGCAGTGTTCAAGAAGTAAACAATATTTTAGAACATTTTCTTAAACATAAAACTCGAACCTTTATAATTTAATGACAAAACAAACCCACAAGTTTCATTAATCAAGTGATTAACAGATAAGCTCTAAATAATGACAAATGAAGGTGAACAACAGACAAGAACACAGTACATAAATTGTAAAATAAGCATATAAATATATAAAACAAACATAAAATTATTTCAACCCCTTTGTAGAAACGTGAGCAAGAAGCTCCTCATCACGTTCAAATTTAGCCATGTCATCCTTCGTCAAGTTGACGTACGCCTCAATGCCTCCACCTGACTTGGTGTCTTTAAAAACAATTACATTCTTGAATTTCCACGTAGGCGGTCCTGTCCACGTAGGATTACCCCATGCAAAATCAACCTCGTACACGGGAAACCTACACAGTGAAGTGAAGGTAACAGGCACCAACTCACCCTTCTCAATAGCTTTAGCCATATCTTCTCTATTAGGATTCCATTCTTTGCTTTCCCGAAGCTTCACAATAAAATCGCTGTCCACTTTGTTTATCTCTTCTTTTAACTGTCTTCCCAAGTCGTCGTTGTTCTCTCCTTTCTCATCTAACGTTGAAAACATTTGAACATACCAGTAATAGTTCCCGAACGCATATTCTGGCAATGGAGGATCCATTCTTGTGCGTAGATTCACTGTGGATGTCACCATGTCAATCTTTTTCTTGTCCCCTTCTTCTTTAGTTGAAGCAATAAACCGGTTCAATAAGAAAGTTGATAACACTTCTAGTCTTGAAGGAGGTTTTAGGCCTTCTTCAATGACCTTTCTTGAATATTTTGTTCTCAGAGATTCTATTACCGATGCTTCAAATACGAACCGCTTTCCCACGATTTTGTGGTTTCCGATGTGTGAATTCGGGTCGTATCCTAACAAGTCTTTTGTCGGGAAGAGTGAGGAAGATTGAAAGTGGGTTTTTATTGGCTGTGATTCGCCGCGTGTCATGGCTGCCCAGCTCTTGATGAACTCAAAATACGACAGCGCGTCGGCGATCTTATGGGAGAGGCTTACACCGACGGCTATTCCGCCGCAATCGAAGACATTGAATTGGACACCTAGGACTGTATCGACGATTTCATCCATGTCGTAGGGAAGCAGTTTGCTGACGTCGGCCGGAGACGGGTTGCCGATGACGGTGCTGAGGTGGCACCTGACTCTGGTTTCTACGTAAGGGACACCCTCGTCGTTGCAGTCTACGACTAAGTTGTTGGTTATGAGTCTTCCGGCGAGTGGGTAGTAGTGGGTTAAGACTTGAGATAATGATTTCTTGAGAACATCGGAAGCTTCGTTGATGTTAAATTTGTCTGTGACATCATCGGCATTGAAGAAGTAGACCATAGAATTGTTGATTTGGGGAGTTATCTGGTCGATGAAGGAGAGATGGTAATGACGAAGATGTTGAGGTGTGGGAGACGATGGTTTCACCATTTCTTTGGAGATTACTTCTACTTCAACGCTCATTTTAATTTCTTGGTGCTTCTCTCCTTGACGTGTAGCTTCTTATTATTACTCAAAACAATTATATTTATGCTCATCTTACAGCCCTTATCATGAAGGAGGATGTCATTGTCAATATTATATAGATGAACATCTAAATCTGGATCATTCATATATTTAATCTGAACAGTTCAGATTTATTTTTTATTTTTTTTCTTATAATAATTAGTCTAATGTGTACGAATCTAAAATATGATATGCAATATCTTAATTGTGATCCCCCCCCCCAAAAGTCAGTTTTTATTTAAAAAAACATTAGTTGAAATTTTCAAATATGTATCGTTCAAAGTATATTTGAATAGTGCAAATCTCACAATAAAACAAAACTATGACCAGTTTTAGTACTCATCATTTTAATGAGCATTCTAAGCTCATCAGATTTGAATCATCTATATCTCATTTAGATACTCCAGATTTGATTTCTTTTTAATTTTTATTTATTTAAAATAATTATTTTAATATGAATAGAATTTAAAATAGAGATAATTTTCTAACTATAATTCTTTCAAAAAATAATTTTTTCTATTTAAAAATAATTAATTAAAGATTTTAAATATGGATCTTCCAAATGAGATATGGATAATCCAAATCTGATGAGCTTAGAGTGCTCATCAAGGATTGAAACTGGTTCCATATGAATGAGTATTGCCATGGTCATCATTGCAAAGAGCACTAAAACTAATTTCAAATTTCAATCACGACAATTTTATCCTCTTATTGATGTCTCAATGATAGTTTGAATTTGATTTTGATCAAGATCACGTTTTAACAACTAAGGATTTGTTTGGAATGGGGGAAGGAGCTTTTAAAATATCTTTTCAATTGTGATTAATATGTGAAGAGAGTTTTGTCTCGACCTATATAAAAGTGCTTATAAAAGAAATAGATCTAAACGAGCCCTAATATACAAACTCCCCATGTGATTGACAAGATTAAACATTTTTCATTTTCATTTGAAGAGTGGTTGCGTGCAAGTAATAATTGAGAGAGATAATAAAATACTGATTGCGGGCTTGAGGAACTATGGTTATGGTTATCGGTCACTATTGATTTCTTGGAGTGGAAGGCGAGCCTTATATGCGGGAAAGTTATTAATTCTTCTATGAATTTGCAAATTAAATAATAAATAATAAAATAGATGCTAAATTTGTAATGTAATTCAAAGTAACTCACAAATTTAAAACTAAAAATTTTAAGAATAACAATAAAAATTTAAACTTCATGATATATAGTACACTGTAACTGTATCACAACTCCAAACTTCTTTTAGGGAAAATTGCAAATAAAGACCGTGGAATATATAAAATCGCAATTTGGGTCCTTGAATTTGTATAATTGCTGTCAGAGACCCGGTCCCAAATAAGAATTATGAAATGTTGATTAAAAGTCAAAAACGCCCTTCTGCTTTTTTGCAGTCCCTTGTCTACACATGCCCTTACTTTATCTTTCTTCACTTTCCAAGTCGTCTCCCTCTTTCTTCATTCTCCGACTTGTCTCCCTCTTCTTGATGATGAACTATACAAATCTCTTGAAGAAATTGAGGCTAACACCATTAGAAATCTCCTTCTTGATGAAGATGGTCCATCTTTTGGTGTTTTTGATGACTCGAGTTTCAATAATTTACCAAAACTGGTGATAACCTGGAAGATTTTGATCTGTTTGGCAGTAGTGGAGGTATGGAGCTGGAAGGCGATGAACATCTAACTATAGGAAAGGGGCCAATGGTCCAGATAAAGATCCTAGTTGCTTCGGACGTTTTAAACGGAAACTTTCTTTTGTTGAACATTCTTCTAGAACAATTTTGTTAGAAACATTAACAGCAATGTTGAAGATTCTGAGCTAAAGACTCTCTTTGAGGTGCTTCTTTATTGTTTACGTTGATAGATGCTATGCTAGAATTCTTAGAAAGCATTTTAGACTTTGAATCTTATAAAAAGTCAATGCAATTTCTTGTTTGTTTTGACAAATAATGGTGATTTCTGAACCAAGTTTGATAAGTGTGTTGAAAAGAACAAATTGACAAGTTCTGATACCCACTTCACGACAAGTTCAGTAATGCGAATAACATTTAGGAAAGCAAATAACAACTTCTGATAAGCAATTCATAGAAATTCGAGTTATTGTGTTAAGATGACAGCATTTTCAGATTTCTTTAGCAGATGACAAGTTCTGATACACAATTCATGACAAGTTCAGTAAGGTGAATGACAAGTTTAGTAAGGCGAATGACAACTTCTGATAAGCAATTCATAGAAATTTGAGTA